TTTTTTTTTTTTTTTAAACGTTTATAAGATTAAGCAAGATATATATATATATATATATAGATAGATAATTAATCGAGTTGAGAAATAAATTTATCAAAAAGTAGTTTTTAAATTTCAATTTTATGATAGATATATGAATGTCATGTATTTTAATTTTAATCGTTGTCGATAAGTTTCTTGTTCTTTTTTTCTTGTAAATTAAGTTATTATTATTAGAAATTCACACGATGTAATGATTTGTCAATGATTTTTTGTACGTTCCACGCGATAAGAGTGGAATATACGAAAAGTAGAAAGCTGAAAACTGGAAGGAAATAAATTTGTCCAGTTAGCTCCTATTAATCCTATAAATATTAATTGTGGATTCAGTTTCTCGTGATATTTAGAATTATTCAATTGCTGATATTTTTCTTAATTTTAATTTTTCTTTCCTTTCTGTTCACGAATCTTAAATATTATGAAATTTAGATTCTGGAATGATATTATGAGAGAAATGTTTTTAATGGAGAATGAAAATATAAAATTATTGGTTATGACTCGTAATATATGTAGATAATTGATCCTCGTGATTTTTCTGTTTTCCATTGTTCAATGTTTGTTTTTTCCATTGATACGATGTTGATTTAATATACCTCGATAATATTGACGAGAGAGAATTTTCGTTATAGAGAATCGATCAATGAAATAATTGAAAATAATAAATATCATTGTTTCAACTTTATAAAATTTATATGAGATATTCGTAATAAATATTTGTTCATAAGGAAATAAAATTGCATTAAAAGAAAAAAAATAATTGCACGTTATGTTATACAAATATGAATACAATGATAGATTAATGTAACTTTGATGATGAACAAATTACTTATCTTTTAGTTACTTTTTTTCTGCTAAAAATATCCTTTATATTTCTGTTTCAAAAAGACGGAATTGGAGAAGAATCTGGATGCCTTTGTCATTATGTATTCCGTGATTGATAAGGCATCCTTTCAGAGAGCGGAAGAATATCTGGAACGTCTTCACGACCAGGATTTCCATCGAGGAAAATCGACAATATTAGTCGGTAACAAAGTGGATCTTGTTCGATCGAGGGTAGTTTCTTCCCAAGGTTGGTACCTGTGCATATTTATTATTATGGTTCTAAAAAATTCCCAAAATGGCTTTCACGAATGATAGTCTACTATGCATGAGATCAGACACGTAACATGACGAAGATGCACACTTTGTTTATATTATTTTTTTACACGAACGATATTAACATTCCACAGAAGCAAAAAAAGGTTTTAGCAATTTAGAATTCCAATTTTAAATTATTCCATATATTTCAAAAAGAACGTCATTTTTTTTATTTCAAATAGGATTTTACAAACTAAATTTCTTAATAAAAAATTCCATAAAATTTCAACGATCCTCTCAAAACTCAACAATTCCTTTCATATCTCACAAATTAACTTCAATCTTCCTATTCTCACTATATCCACGCACACTCCACAAATCATGCCTCCTCTCCTTTATAACTTTATATAATAAATCTCCAATGTTTCATAAAACTTCAATAATAATAATATATCTTGAATATAACAAAACTTCGACAGAAAAACTCAGAACAAAAACACCGATCCATTGGAATTGAAACATTTTCTTCTCCTCTTTTCCCTATTCTTATTTCAACCCCTTTTTTCATCCTCCATTTTATCCCATTCAATCGGCCTTGGTCGCCCCTTTATAAATATCCACTTCTTCCCCCTCCCTCCCCCTTTATCTTTTCTCTCTAATCCTTTTGCGCGTGATGCAGATGGCAAGTGCATGGCGTGCACCTATCGGGTGAAGTTCATCGAGGTCTCGGTCGGGATCAACCACAACGTGGACCATCTGCTGGTCGGCATCCTGAATCAGATCCGTCTGAAGAACAGCAGCAACGTGTCGGAGAACCGGGGTGGAAACGGAACCAGCGAGGGTAGCGGCCACTGGTACAAGTCGAGGGGTGTGGTTCGAGCGAGCATGAAGGCCAGACAGATGTTGACGTGGCTGTTCGGCAAAGAGGACAGCAAGTTCAAGAACTGCGAGAATCTTCATGTCCTCTAAGGATGGACCGATCGATCCAATTCTTTCTTTTTCTCTCTCTCTCTCTCTTTCTTTCTTTTTTTTGTTTCTTTTTTTTAATCTATGGTCGTACCTGAGGACGTAGATTGTAAGAGCCGGTCTACTTGGTACAATATCCTTGACGATATGCTTAATCCACGATACTTCCAGAAAGATGCAAACGAAATCTTGTTTGCATGTCAGGGATTGGTATGATTGGAATTTGATCCAATGGAAGAGGGAGGGTGAGATTGAATTTCGTTCAAGGGGGGTGGGAGGGTAGCAGTCTCGATACGGATGGCCAATTTGATTATTAAATATTCATGGAGCGGTTCCTTTTGTTTCGTGGAGGGACTAGCGGAAAAACAATTCTATCTTGCTTCTTGTATTTCTTTTATTTCATTTCGATGGAGAAATTTTTAGGGGAAAATGATTGAGGAGAGGGATTTGAAATTACATGGGAATGTTTGATACAAAAATTGGAATTATTGGAAAGTAATACAAGTTTTTTTTTTTTTGGAATTGTCTGGATTTTTATCTGAATTGAAGTTTCATTGAAAATTTGGCTTAAGTAATTGTAATTGTATGTAAGTAATTGTAAATAATAAGATTGTTACGTAAATATGATATGGAATTTTTTTTATATTTTTTTAAGTTAATTTTATCTTCTTTTGTTATTTTGAATTCGACAAATTGGCCATTCAATAATCACGAGAAAATCTGGAAAATATCGGAGTGCGATCAAAGTGCCAATTAGATCAAACGAACGTTTGTTTCTCTTTCTCGACGATTAATTTTTAATTAATGTTAGCTTTTAATAACTTCCATCGAGGATTCGCTCGATATCTATCGTAATATCTGTAAGAATAAGTTTGTTAAGTCGCCTGTGTTGGTATTCGTTATACGTATACGCAAGAGAAATATTTATATCTTTGGTAGTTCTTCGAGGCAAAATTTAATGTATACACGATTTGATTAATCCTTTGATAATTCTTTTATTTCTGGTCACTTCCTTCGTAAAATATTCATTTATCTTTCTGCGTTTAATAAATGCAAATTGCGAAAATAAATGAAAATTGTGAAAATAAGAAAGAATAATATAAATTGTTTAATTATTGCCCGGTCATTTCTTTTGTATTCGATTCAATGAAAGATTATAATTTTAAAAAGATCGATATACAAATTTAATTTTCGTTTTTAGCTCGATTTTATATTATATACAATTTCAAATAGCTATTCTGGAAGGTCAGAAGAAATTTAAAAAAAGCGAGGATTTAATCAAAAGAAATAGTCAAAAGATTAATCAAAAGGAGGAATTCTTCTAAGACTTGAGAAAAAGTGGAAAGATTAAAAAAAAAATATATATATCTATAAGGAGAAGATAAGAAGGAGTTGAAATCTAGTTGATACGAAGGAATTTAAATTGGACCATGGCATGAATTAGCGGCCAATAATGTTACTGTCGTTACTGTATAATAAGACCAATCTAAACTTCTTAATCCGAATTGTATATACTGATAAGTTTAACTATAACAGATTTGTGTATCTATATAAGAGGAAAGGGAAGAAAAAGATGAAAAGAAGGAATACAAAAAAAAAAAATGGAAAAAGAGATGGAGAAGTTAGATACGTGTGTTATATTATTATAAATATAAATAAAAATGCACTCCCTTTTAGAAGACTCAGGACGCTTCTTCTTTATAATTTATAATTTTGATATTCGATATAAATCATAAATTTTAATAAAAGTATCAAAATATTGATTATTGAATAGAGATTTTTACGTTACAATGTGAATATGAATTACGATTTTCTCTTAAAAAAAGTGTACTAATTGATAAAAAGCTACGATCGATATGACAGATACAATAAATGTCCAAAGACTTTTAAGCGGGGGTGTATGTGTCTACACGCATATACATATAACTATATTCCTAATGTACGATCAAACATAAGTCTACGTTAATTTTGTGTAGATGTATCGTTAAACGATTGACGTGTTACTGTATTGCGTGTTTTCCTTAAAAAAGAACGGGTACAATGAAGAATATTCCTTTTTTTGGGGGACATTTTATTAAGAAAAAGAACATATGTACACATACGCGCGCACATATATATATACACGTATATTATCCATTATCTATTTTCTGCGATCTCTACGCCTATGTATCCGAATTAAATATGTATAAATATATATATACATATATATAGGGTGTCAGGAAAAAAGATGGTTCAAGAATCTACTCGTGTAATTTTACTAATCAACTCTTTTGAAAAAAAAGCAACAAATTTTTGTTATTATTATTATTAATTTTATTTATTGTACGCCATCTTTTGTAAATAGCTATATATGATAAAATAATAAAATTCTTTTGTGTACATAGTTCTCCATAATTTTTCATTTTTTATCCTTTGTTACGTATTCTGTTTTTTTCTTTCTTTTTTTTTTATTTTTTTTAAATTAAAAATGAATATATCAGCATTCTTGAACCAGATTCTTTGAACACTTTATATATCTAAAACAGTGTTGTAATAAGTATAGTTCGAGCGGGATATCCGTATCAGGGGCCAAACTGTAGAATAAAAAAAAAATAGAAACGAGGTGGTTCATATGTTTAAATAAAAATTGAAACAATTTATAAGCTATTCTAAAAAATGTGTAACATTGGAAATAATCGAGAATAATAAAAAATGATATTAATTCACAAAAAAAAAAGTTATAGGGAACAGTTTACATTTTCTAAAAATGATTTAAAATGTAATTAAATCGTGTTTTGAAACGAAATATTAAAAATGGATTTTACTACATGTTATAATATTAAATGTACAGGTTATGCAATTTTCAAGTAATTAGTGAAGTTAATGAGGTTTTGAGTTTGGTTAATTTAGTAGATGGAAAATATTAGGTTAGAAAAAGGCAAACTTTCAAGTCGAAATTTGGAAGAAATTCAAGAAGGTATTAAGTTTGAGAAGAACGAGTAAAAATTCTTATTTTAATAGTTTATAATCTTCTTCCATCTAAGTAAGATAATTTGAAATGAAAAATGAATTTGATGATTAATTTATTATCATCTAAGTAATTGAACTCGCGAACGAAAGATTGTGAAAATCAATAGCAATATAATCATAAATTCTGAAAGTAGAATAAGAATCAAATTGGATGTGAAATTAAATCAAAATAAAAATCAAAGGAAATTATGTGATTTAAGAAATGTATCCTCACAAATCGCGAGGCTATCTTCTTACAGCACTGTAAAAATAAAAAAAAAAAATTAAAAACAAGAATGGCGAAAGAAAAAAGAGAAAAACTTAAAATTAAAAACGAAAAAATTCTAAATTTAAATGAAAATTATTCCTTTGCTGATAAACTTTGTTCGAAAATAGCGAATTAATGACATTGTTATCGATCGTTTAATTTCCTCTATCTTTTATCAATTGCGAAACGAACCAAGATATTATCGTTTGCCATTGGTTTGCGTCATCGTTGTTAGTATTCTTGAATTAATTTAATTAAAAAAAAAAAAAAAGAAAAAGGAACCAAAAGATCGAATTCTATGGAAACGTGACTCAAACAAGGATGAAAATAAAAGACAGAAAGAGAGAAAGAGAGAGAGAGGAAAAGAAAGGGGAATTCTTATCAAGTGCCTTTGT